GGTGTGAGTTCATTCAAGCAAGTAAACATGAAATATACTTCGCATAAACAGACTATAAAGTGCATTTTGGGCAAATGCGTTTTGGCTATGTGCATTAACTTAGGTTGCTAAAAAAGGATAGGGATGTTGAAGAAGCTCAAAGCAGGCAAAGTGTTCATAAATATATATTGGTGTTGTATGAAAAGTGTAGCTTTTTTATTTTATAGTGGAAAAAGCACAGGCAAGGGAGTGCTACAATCAGAGGCCTTCATAACATGTCAAAGCATTAATCCGTATTGTGCCGAATTGGAAAAAAGGTGGGAGCAGTGCTGAATATTATTACTATGGATATGTTGGTGGAAAAAAAAAACATTCAAATTGTTTTCAGCAGTTCACACATGTAAAATTTGAAAAACAATATGTTATAACAATGAATATAACCATAAAGGCATTGTTAGAAAGAATTAATAAAACATACAGATGGACAGATTTAGAGGTTGCTGGGAGTTACTTCCCAATACTTTTCAGTCCGCCACTCCTAAAACTGGTGTTTCTAATCATATTTTTCTTATTAAATTTGCATTAACAGCGAGCTTGCAGATTACTGAACCATGCGATATTTGGCATCATGCACAACAACCTTCACTAAACCATTCAAGACACGGAATATATCAGATTGTAGGTACAGGACAGTTATTATTCAAGCTTGACCGGGGTCAAAATTATGAACTGTAGAGGCTGGCAAGAGCAGGCCGGAGTTCTTCTGAGAAACGGAACAAAACTGAATGAAAAGGGCGTACCAATGTACCTGAACAAAAATACGTGTTGATCACCATGTATTATCTGCAGTGACACATGTATCATAAACAAAACAGATCAAGAGCTGAGCAGATATTAGCGTGTAAATATTGGGAATGTGTTGGGCATTCCAAGCCCTCCTTTACATCCAGAGTAGCGACATGCATACAAGTTAAGCATGTGTTTTGAAACAAGCTTACTGCTTTCTAGGTCACACATGTTCATTCTTTACCGTTAGATTTTGTACCACTGGTAATGGAAAATCGGAGAAGCAGCGTGCAATGTATGCGACAGGCACTTAACTTTGGCGGCACATCAGTAGAGCTAGAAAAAAAGAAGTGTGCATGCAGGACAGCAATTCACGGTGGAAATTCGAAAATAAATTTGGAAATGAATATTTAAATCATGCCTACCATTTAATCTGTACTATAACTCTTAGCTTAATATCTAACCAATTATAGGTAAGGATCTTTGTTTACATTTGTTGCTATATAAGTATCTATCCCAACCGCAATTGTGAATGTTTTTTACACGATTCTTAAATAGAATTTGCAGCACTCTCTTATTAAAGGCTTTTTTTGTTATCTTGGGATATGTGAAAGTCTATACACACAGAGACACATCTACCTTGACACACGCGAGTTAAGATCAGCAATTTCACATTTTAAATGGAGCCTTATCGAATATCAGCAGTGCAATGTGTCCGAGGGGCAGCGGGACAAAACATGTTTTGGTTGGGGAGGTGCACACGTGTCTATGATGTGAGGTCGCAAGTGCAGCATTAGAGAGTGGCGTGTGGAGTAATACCATTCCACAGACTGCGAGATTCTCTATAGTCTACATGCCGACATGCTTGGAACTCCACGGAGAGACGTGGATTAGCCTGATATGTCCCGAAGACGGATAATGGCTGGTGATCAATACTGATGATGGAGTGGCAAAACAAAAGGAGCGAACACACCTGAGAGCTCGTCCACCGCGGAGGTGGAACAACGAGATCAGCTAATATGCAGGAGGCGAGGTGGATTTTTCTATCTGAAGATCATAAGAAATTGTCATTACTTGGGAAGGCCTTCATCCGGCAGGGGATAGGTTATGGCTGATGGGAATTTGTTTTCAGTAGCACAATGGGAGTAAATTGGAAAATATATACCAACAAAAATACCAAGATACTTATACGAGAGGCATACTGCGAAACACAGTTTTGCTCTTAGCATAGAAGAGTGGTGTTGTTGTCCATTGTTTCACTGCTTTGTTTTTGAAACACGTACAATGTGGACTTAAAGCTTCCGTAACTGCAGGAATTCATATTCTTTGGGTCTTTCGGTAAAATTACGTACATATAAACATTTATACAATAAAAATATCACGACATAGGGTCATAAGCGAAGTGGGCAGGGCTAGTGAGAAATTTGCATGTAAATGTAAGATTGGAGAGCTGAGCTGCCTCCACGACGACGAAGCTGCGGAGGTGGCCATTGTATTGTGAGAGATTAGCATGTCCATATACGATCCTAGAGCCACCACCACATCGAGTAAAACGAGCAACAGTGGGTGTGTTAGTGAGACATTGAACCTGTTAATGTAAAGACATTTAACCTGTTAATGTAACACCAGAGAGTCGAACATAACTACTAACATCGGCAGGTAGGATGGAAACATCACAGCCAGTTATGACTTAAACTGGTTAGTAACGTCCTTCCAATGATAATTGGTTTTTTTACCCTTTTATCTGGCAACAAAACTGACACATTTTTTTACAAGGAGTCATGTTTGCATTGACCACAATACCTGCGGTCGGAATGCAAGCAAAAAACACAACTCTGATAATCAGTGTATGCACTGTCCTTGAAATTGATTGGTCCACACCCGAGACAGCTTTACTGAGAGCCTAGTTTCACATGGTGTTGGACCAGATGACGCCAAACAGCGCACAACTCAAAGACAATGCACCATTAGAGAATGAGAGCTCGAGGTAAGCATTTACACCATTGGAACCTCCTTTGCCAGTAGCAAAATATGATAAATGTTTTTTTACCCTATTATATGGCAACAAAACTGACACCTTTTTTATCACAAGGAGTCATGTTTGCATTGACCACAATACCTGCGGTTGGAATGCAAAAAAAAAACACAACTCTGATCATGTATGCACTGTCCTTGAAATTGATTGGTCCACACCCAAGACAGCTTTTCTTAGTGCCTAGTCTCACATGGTGTTGGACCAGATGACGCCAAAAGGCACAAAACTCAAAGAAAATGTACATGACTCCTTGTAAAAAAGGTGTCAGTTTTGTTGCCAGATAAAAGGGTAAAAAAAAACAATTATCATATTTTGCTACTGGTAAAGGAGGTTCCAATGGTGTTAATGCTTACCCCGAGCTCTCATACTCTGATGGTCCTACCGTGTTTCAGATCTGCCTTATGTTCACAAACACGGTCCAAGACATGTCGCTTAGTTTCCCCAATGTAACTACTGCAGACACAGCTTAGTTTGTAGACACCAGGGTATTGCATGTCAGGGATCACATCCTTCACAGATGGGATCAGATCACGAATTTTATGTACTGTGTTGAATCGAACCTGTATCTTGTGTTTGCTCATGATTTTGGAAATATTTTTAGTTACCCATGCTATGTATGGCAACGTGATGGTTTTGATTGGGTCTTCAGATGGTTCTTTCCCAAAATATTTGTTATAATCAGCTGTTATTTAAAATTTTAGCAATGCAATGTATACAACATTGCACAGTATTGCTGTAACAATAGAATTAAACATGAAAAAAAATTGACACTCAAATTACTCAAAAACACGACCTAGTTTCAGCCTTGTGAAAGTGATAGTATATGCGAATAAAACACAAAATGGTTACCTTCATAAAATGTATGCTTCTGGAAGTATTCTGCCATTGTAAAGCCATCACCACCCACATTCAGTTAGACTTCTTGCTGTTTTTTTATCTAAAGTCCACTTCATATGGCCCTTTTATGGGATCCCAGATCATATAACAGGGCCATATGGGGATACCCATAAATGTTTACATCATGGCTTGTACTCGTAATGCTATTCAGAGCATCTTAGAATAGGGAGCACTAAAGCCCTATACCAGGTTTTGGACTTCTCTTGGAAAATGTTGACTTGCATCCTTTTGGAAACTGAGGAAAGGGCTTTGCAGGGACACAATTACATAGCACGGACTTCTCGACTTGAATTTGTTTGATTAAAACAGCTCCCCTTTCTCCTTTCTCAGAGTATTTATTTTATAACAATTGAAAATCTTACTCATTTATTATTTGCGGTCATATAACGCAATGGCTATTATAGTGGTCCATGTGACAGAGCAATTTTAAAAAATTGGTGTGATTTTGGACTGATTGATACTTCTTGAATTTCGACCACTGAACAAGACATTTACCATGGCTCCTGCACTTACTATCGTGAAAGTAGAATTTTGGGAACATTTCAACATAATTGTCAATTTCAACTGAATTCAAGCATTTTATGTTTTGCCTGCTACTGTGGCCAAGTCTCGTTGCAGCAATATTTTACAATGTACGCGACAAGCAATGCTCAGTGATGTAATTGAACCAGCTGTGGTATCTACCTAGGTCCACTCTGGATTAAAATTATTACCGTGTGCCAACAACGACCAGTGATGGGTTAACAGATGCTGCCAGGAGTATCGTTGACCCATTTTATAGTCTCTGCTTTCCTTAAGAGAAACATGTGACTGCACATTAACCGAACGAAGAGCAAATGATGTGTACCATCGTGGTCATGCTTAATTTTTCCGATACTGACCTCTAAAACCAACACAATGTTTTACTACATATACTTGTATATCTCAAGGATTTTCATGTTAGCCTGTGCTTAATGCCATCTGGACCAGTCTGGATATTATTTATAGAATTAAATTGACACCATTTTCGTCTCACCTTATTTAGTCCCAAATTTGTACATACGATTATCAGAATGCAGGTTACAATAATATAGGATTATAATGGATAGTCGTACATTGTACTCCAGTGATAGTGCCCTATGCACGTAAATCTTCACTCCTAGCCAGCGCAGCAGTGTTTCCGAAAATATCGAGTGATAAATTAAGCCCTGACGTTGGCACAAAATATAGCCGCTCCATGCTGATACGGCCCAGGTCAAAAACACGTGTATATTTATATTAGCTGCTTTGAGCGAATCACACGAAGGATGCTTTGTGCTTGCAGGCTGGAACGATGGTAAGATCCGAGCGTTCACACCAGAAAGCGGGCGGTTGATGTACATCATCGACAACGCGCACGGGATGGGAGTGACCACAGTGTCCCTGACCGGTGACTGCAAACGGATCATCAGCGGTGGAGGAGAGGGCCAGGTCAGGACCGTTGCTCTAATTGACCTCTTTGTGCTATTTCGTCTCTGACCATTTCCTGTCATCAACAAGCGGTGGCAAAAGCCTCTCTCCAAATTGTTTCTAGCCCACAAATGACACTTTACGTCTGAACGACCTGAAAAGGTCCCTCTTATTAAGCTGACCATTGGAGTGGATTTTAGATACAAACATGAGAACATCTGTTTCATGAACTGACTTCATGCCTGCAGAGCATTATGTCAACACCACCGAGTTATTTTTTTGGGCATCAACCAAGGATAAAGATTATCATTTGTAGCAAATATGGTGGTTTCATCCAGATCACCAAAAAGTTTTCATTGTAATCAATTTAGTCCTACATACATACAGCATAAAACACGATGACACGCAACATCGTGATACCTGACAAGAGGAGCCTGTAATGACAGGAATAACATTGCTTGGCCCTTCTCCGTTGTGCTGTGAGCGTCCGTGTCTGCTTGTAATTCTAAAAATAATCATTCTTTGCTTATACTACTACAGCGATGCTACGAACATCAGAAAGAAGTGTACATCTGCTTCATAGATTACGAGAAAGCCTTTGACTCAGTAGACCACGACCGACTAGCAGCTCTATTAAAACAACTGGGACTAGATAAAAACGACATCAACTTCATCATTGCTCTTTATTGGAAGCAAACAGCCCAACTCTGATATGACAACGAATTGACAGACCCAACACCAATACCAAAAGGTGTACGACAAGGCTGCCCACTGTCACTGATTCTTTTCAACATCTACTCGGAGCAGATTTTGATTGAACACTAGCAGACAAAAACATCGGTATTAAAGTTAATGGACAATACATCAACAACATCAGGTATGCCGACGACACTGCACTGCTGGCCGATTCGGAACAAGACCTACAACAAATCTTGGACGAGGTTGCCGCAGAGAGTCAAATATGGGGCTTACGAATTAACAAAAAGAAAACAAAGGTTATGAAGGTCAGCCGAACTACAAGCGAAATAACAATCAAGCTGGACAGCGAAAAATTGGAACAAGTACACTGATTTAAATACCTTGGTGTAATCATTGACGATCAGTTGAACCATGAAGTCAAAATCAAGAGCAGAATTGAACAAGCAAGGCAAGCATTTATTAAATGGAAAACACACCTTGCAGACCGCAACTTGAGTACATCACTGAAACTGCGCACACTGAAATGCTACATCTGGTCAATTTTGCTGTACGGAGTAGAGACGTGGACACTGACAACAACAGCAACAAAAAGGCTCGAAGCTTTCGAAATGTGGCTGTATCGAAGAATGCTGAAAATCCCATGGACAGCCAAAACCACCAATCCTGCATAATGCACGGGCATAATATTAATTTGAAACCCCCCTGCCCACCTCCTACGCATTTTCCATATGCTAAATTCCTCTTGATATGCAAATTATTTTGTCAAGGTGCTCTTCTTCCCAACCTCCCCCCCCTCTAACCCAGCTTAAATATACGCTCCAAGCTTGGTGGTGTTTCCTTCTTCACCTGAGGACGGCTGCTTGCGTTGTGGCCGAAACGTCGTGAGAATTATTTTATTATGTTTTATTTTTATTATTTTGTTATGTATATAGGTTGAACTTATTTCAGACTAGCCAACCGTGTTAATCAGATGTGCAGGTAAGGGACAACAGTTTTAACAAAATCAGTTTTCAATCTAGGTTTAAAAGTGCATAGCTGCAGTGGTTTCTTAATATTGGAAGGACAATCATTCCAGACGGCCACAGAAGCACATCTGGAAGCACGCGATGCCGTGACCATCTTTGTTCGATGGTTAGCCACAAGCTGCTGTGAGAATGACCAGAGTTTGCGTGATGGTTCATGCTCCTAGGTTCGTGTTTGGGAGCTTGGGACCCAGAGTCAGCGGCTGGTGGAGGCGATGAAGGAACACAAGTCGTCCATCAGCTGCATCCGCCTGAAGCACAATGACAAGGAGTGTGTGAGTGCCAGTACTGATGGCACTTGCATCATATGGGATCTCGAGTGAGTCATGAAAATGCACACACATGGACACCCACAACCAACCAGCTATCACTATTACAAATCGATGAATGCTGTGTGGATGCTGTTGATAAGATGGGGGAAAATTGAATGGTAGATCGAATTGGTTAGAATTCAAAACAACACATTTGTGGATTATCAATACATAAATACCCATTTTGCAGGCAAACTATTACCATGCTCCCCTTAAAAATATAAATATTCCTAATGGTTTATAACCATATGAAAGGAATCTCAAATAAAATTAGTTACTTTGTGATTCGTAGCCTCTGGATGCAAAGACAAAGAAATGAACAGCATGTTGGGGCAAGTGTTGTTAGGGAGCACCTATGGAGGCTGGCACAGCACACGTGGTGGGTGGCCAGCATTACTCCCTGCTGCCTTTGTACTCACTTGAGGTTGAGTCGACCTAGGGGAGGCACAGGATCGGTCCAGGTAATCTTCACTGGTTTTAGCTGTAAGCGAGAATCGAACTCGGATGGGCAGGCTCGTAGCGCAGAGTGCTAACCACTGGGCCACCGTTCCCCTCTCTGGATGCAAACACACATGTGCCCACATGCATATATTCCGTTCCAGGCTTCTATATCCTCTGAAACGTTATTGAATGCCAAACTGCTCTCTTATGGGAATTATAAAAAAAACATTAAAGTGTCTCCAAATGAATAAATATTCTACAGGCGTATCTCCAGGACTTAATTTCTCACAGACTATTTTCTGGGGCCCTCTAACCCCCTAGATACCAGCCCGCTTTATCCGTCAGTACCCGGTGCAAGGGTGGGGGGCAGGGGGGGCAATAATTCAGGAACTTAGCCCTAGACAGCTCCATTTAAATTGAAACTCTATCACCATGTAAGCTAATAGCTTTCTAATTTATGTTGCCATAAACGATTCTTGACTTTTTTGAGAGAGTCTCGACATTATGAGAACAAGATATATTGATTCACTGTGCAAATTCATATCCTTGTTCAAGTGATTATTCTCTATTTTCTGAACAATTGCCCACTTTCTGTCCTGTCATTCTCTTCTGGCTGTCATTCTATCGCAGTTCTTATGTACCTCCTGACTATTTTTGATATATTGAATTGTGTGTGCACATTGACACTGAAAGTCTCTTTCGGTCGAGAAACTCTGGTCACACAAAAACATACAGAAAAACATCTAAGCTGTCACAAATGCAAATCCTCTTTGCTTTAATATTTAAGGCACTCAACAGGCAGAATCTTTTAGGAAATTCCAGCTGTCATAGATGATTGAATGGCCAATTCCCACATTCGTCTCTGTGACCGTTGCAAACAATGGAATGAGTGCCACCAGGAAGGGCTTTGCAGCCATGGTGAATCACACACAAACATACATATTGTGGTTGAACCTGGCAATGCCCTCCCAAGTGTGTGATTTACTGGCAGGTATTTTAAGGAAGCATGCAAATAATTTGGCGGGGCACATGGCTGAACGGGTGTAGCATATTTACAGCTTGTTGCAAGAGGTTTGTCGTTCAAGGCCAGCGACCACCTTGGTAAATGTTGTGAGTGAATTAACCAAAAATATACTTGCCTGCTTCACAGTGGACGTTAAAGGCCTCACGACGCATCGATGACGGCATCACGGGCATTTGTTTAAATTTCTCGCAAATTACCTAATTGCTGTAGGCCACATAGCAACATCGTCCTCTACTGTGAGACAACTGCATCCTCTGTGAAACGTAGAACCTTCCTGATGGCCCCATGCTTAAAGAATGGTGCAAAATACTAAATGTACGACTTTATTTAGATTTAATTACCACCCACTGCATTTTGCACATCTGAATCTGATGTTTTGCGGTAGCCAGGAAGGATGGCTAAGGGTGTCTTGTGTTTTTAACACAGATGTGAGTCATGTCCATTTAGTTGGAGTCTTTTTTTAATTGAACATTCACGCAAAGCAAATTAAGAGTCCTTGCAATACAGTACTTTGTTAGAAAATGTCACTTGACAAACTCACAACGAACAAATACTAGCTATGATGGGGCAGATATATCAATGAGATATTGTTTCAATCATAATTAAGTTATTTTTGGTTATGTTGCGTCAGTGTAATGTAACTCTTTTTAACTATATCCCTCCACCATCTGACAAAGAAAATCAAATCATGTTGTCACGTGGGCAAATATGCCGATTGTTTTGGTTTATCAGCAAACCGGAGGAATGTTGAAAAGCAAGCAAAATGATGACATGTTTTAATGCCATTTCGCTGGAGATTACAACCAATGTCACGAGGTATTAACAAAATCTTAGCTCTTCATGAGAGAGCTTCCTGAAGCAGGTCCTTAAGTAGATACCAGAACCTCATTAGGACAGGCATGCAGGGGAACCAGCTTCATGATTACAGTTATTCAACCCCCCAGGAACATTAGACCAGACAAGAATAGGTTTTCCCCTTTTTTCTGGCAATAAAACAAAACAAATCTTTCTACGTGACTTTACCAAAAGAACCAAAGAGTAATTCCTGCAGTCACGAAAGCTTCAAATCAAGTTTGAACAAAACAGGTGTTCAGATGTTAAAACACCAAACTGAAACATTTTGCAAGGAATCATGTCTGCATTAACCACAATACTTGTGGTCAGAACGCACCAAGGACTGAATGCTGATGTACCGGCCCTGGTGAGACGCTACCTCACCAACACTTACTTCACCTGGATTGGTACATTCTACAAACAAAATGAAGGTACCCCAATGGATTCTGCCTTATTGCCAGTGGTAGCAAATGTTTTAATGGAGAAATTTGAGACAGATGCCATCCAGACATCCATCCTATGTCCTTCCTTGTGGAAGAGATACGTAGATGACACGTTCGTCATCTGGCCACATGGCCTGCCAGCTCTGAACCAATTCTTCAACCACATCAATTCCATACACCCAGCCATAAAATTCACCATGGAGGTGGAAAAAGATGGCAAGTTACCATTCTTGGATGTTTTAATCGAAAAGAGACCAGATGGCTCATTGGGCACTCTGTCTACAGGAAAGCCACCCACACGGATGCCTATCTAAAACCTGACTTTCACCACCATCCAGCCCAGAAAAATTCCCTCAACAAAACTCTACGCCATAGGACTCATTGCATTTCCAACCATCACCACCTAGCCAGTGAACTGGAGCACATACACCAAGCCCTCAAGATGAATGGATATTCGGATCGCACAATCCGTAAAGCTGTCAACCCAACCGTTGGGAGAAAACCACCTGAGGACCAAATCAAAACCCTCACCTTGCCATACATAGCAGGGGTCACCACAAAGATTTCCAAAATCAGGTCCGATTCAACAGTACATAAAATTCGTGATCTGATCCCATCTGTGAAGGATGTGAACCCTGACATTCAATACCCCAGTGTCTACAAACTAAGCTTTGCCTGCGTCAGTAATTACATTGGGGAAACTAAGCGACATGTCTCAGACCGTGTTCACAAACACAAGGCGGATCTGAAACATGGTAGGACCAACACCTCTGCCGTGGCTGATCATTTTATTAATGCTGTGGGCACACATAAAATTGATTTCTCCAAGACGAAGGTACTGTGCAAACCCACTGGCTATCAGCAAAGATGTGTTCATGAAGCCATCCAGATATGTAAACACAGACACAATATCAACCGAGAAGATGGGTACAAACTGAGCAATCATTGGAAGGACGTTATTAACCAGGTAAAGTCATAACTGGCTGTGATGCTTCCATCCTACCTGCCTATGTTTGCAGTTATTTCCGACTCTCTGAGTTACATTACCTTGTAAATGTATTTACATTAACAGGCTAAATGTCTCACTAACATAGCTGCTGCTCCCTTTTCCTCGATACGGCGGTGGCGCTCATTGTTTAATAGGCTGAATGTCTCTCATTAACACAGCCGCTGCTGCGGGAACCGTCTCACATTGACATGCTAATCTTTAATCTCGAGCAATACAATGGCTTTTTCAGCACCGTAACCGTGGGGTTACATTAACAGATTGACATGCTAATCTATAGCAACACAATGGCCGAGGTATACCTAGCTCTGCGATCTTACAATTACTTGAAAATTCCATCTCTAGCCCCACCCACTTACCCTTGGGTTGTACCCATCTCAAACCTTTATAACCTATGGCTGCAGTCGCTCTCTCGCTATATTTCTTCCTGCCTCAGCAGTCTGCCTGCTGTATTTTTTAACCTGAAGACGATTGCTTGTGTTACGATCGAAACGTCGTGATTTTTTTTTCTACATGACTTTACCGAAAGACCCAAAGAGTATGAATTCCTGCAGTCACGAAAGCTTTATGTCAAGATTCATACTCTGATAATATATGCATTGTCTTTGAAGCTGATTGGTCCACACCAGAGACGGCATTCTTTCAAGCCTAGCCTTTTGGCGTCCTCTGGTCTAACACCGTTTGAGACAAGGCTCGAAAGAAAGCTGTCTCTGGTGTGGACCAATCAGTTTCTGACCATAAGTATTGTGGTTAATGCAGACATGATTCCTTGTAAAAGGTTTCAGTTTGGTGTTTTAACATCTTAACACCTGTTGTGTTGCCATAAAAAAGGGGAAAACCTATTCTCAAAGTTTGGTACTGGAAAAGGAGGTCCCATGAAGTAGACCAGATGTTCCTTAGGCCCCATATATATGCCTGGTGTGTGGGAACCGAGTCACCTACTCTGAGCTAATTCAATTCATAGTATTAAATAACACTTGACTAAATTCATAACACCATATTCTTAGGTTTTTTAGGTAAAGTCACGTAGGTAAAAACATTAAAAAGTAAAATAAAATAAAAATCACGACGTTTCGGAGGCAACACAAGCTTCCGTCTTCAGGTGGTACCGTCACAGCCACGACAGCTGTATCAAGTAAATGAGAGATTGCAGAAGCTACCACTCCGTTTATATAATGGTTGGAGAAGGTGGTGGGGCAAGGGCCGCATACTTTTATTAATATGGTAAGGTGAGGCTTAAGACTAAGAATAGACTGCATA